CTTCAACAGAGAAAAAGAAATCGCAATAATTATGGATTCTGGTGCTACTGAATGCCATCACTTCTTCTCAGCACAGAAATGCAAAATATTGAGATTGTGCCTCATGTTTTTAAGAGGCAAAGGTACTGACTTTGCAGCTATTCATGAGTACGTTTTGTTTTCTTTGGTTGATAGTTTTCACTAGATGATTTAATTTATGTAGTGCATTTTGGCACTTTAATGCATGACTGCATAACCCTTTTAAACTTAAGTTGTAAGATTCGTCTCTCTTATGTATTAGTCATGTTTCATTTTTAATTGTGCTTGATAGTTGAGGTAGCAAGTGGTTTTGTGCTTTCGCAGTTTCATCTCATTTGTCATTTGGTTGATTAGCGGCTTTTACAACTCGTTGTGGACCGGCCTTAAAGGGAATGGCTATGTCAGAACGCCAGTTTAAATAGATAGTCCCACTGTTTCATATGGCTATTAAGAGTTTCTTTGGGAATATTTTGATGTAGATTATGTGGGCATTGGTTATAATACTCGATGGGCTGGCAAGAAATTGGACAGAAATGTTTTTCTGCTAATTGGGAATTGCAACAAATTGTGATATGGTGGATAACATATGACTGATATATTTTGGCAAGTGATCATTTTACTGATAGTATATAGACTGCACGTGGGTATCTCTAGCGCTCTTCAATTACTATTTTTATGAAAATTTTCAACTCATACGGACATGACATAGTATCACACTACTTACTTCAAGTATTCCTTAGGAATGGTTTAGTTTACTATGTATGAATTTTTGCAATCAATGTAGAATGTATCCCTTATTTTTATTGACGATATATGTGTAGACCTATCCAAGATTTCTGGATTAGATTTTTCCTGCATATGGAAAAAAACTAAAGGCTTAATATCGGAATTTTTGTCACGTATTGCATTAATGATCCTAAGAAATGACAACTTTTTTAGTTGCTGGCATAACAAAAGTGTATACTCTTTGTTTATCAATTGAGATTTTTTTCCTAACTTTCCCACATGCAATAATAATTTTGTCTCAGGTTCGCATGAGCAGAACTGTTCTAAATTTGTGTCTCAGGTTGTATGAGCATCGGTCGGTTCTAATTTATTGTAGTTGTATGAGCACAAGTAATCGTACTGGGTGATTTGTTGTGCAGCGAGACGATCCATTGGGGAGTCCATAACTGCAATTTATTGGATTGAGTGTGGTTTTCAATTAAGTAAGCATGTAATCCTCTATTGTTTTGGGTAATCCTTCGGGGTTATTTGTTAGCTTTATTAATTCTTGAAAAAAAGTGGCAAATGTGTTAAACGCGGCGAATGTTCTTTGGCATGGTCTTTTCTAACTGACAGTTCCAAAATTTGCCCAAATTGGAGCCTGGTAAAAAACAAATTTTTGAGATCTATATTTTCTGTTTGTGGCCCGATTCATGGTTGATTTGTGTGCTGCCTTCGGTTGCCATATATTAATTTCAAGTTCTTTTTATTTGCATGCTTTGCAGGGTTCAATCACGATTTCTGAAAGCAAGCACTTTGCTCTTGCGCGCACAAATTTAAACCAGGAGTAACTGTGGGTACCTCTTAACTGAGGTTGGTTTTTTTTTTGTTCTATCCATTATATTTTATTTAGCTTCTTGGTCTTCAGAGGTCTTTAAATGGATTTTTGAAAGTATTCTGTTTTTGATAGTATAATGATATAGAATAGAAGAGCAGTTTGATATGTTAGCCTTGAGTGCCTAACTGTTTTTTAACTTGTTTTTTTTTGTATTTTCCTCCAATGCAGCATTCAGTACGCAACAGTTTCTTGTGATTTCAAATTATTATTTTATATACTAAAACCCATCCCTCTTGATACTGTTCTGTAACATGACCGAGGGGGATGGGGTTAGTTACCATTCCTCTTATACTCATCTTTACGCAGTTAAAAAATAAAAATAAAGGACAGCATGGAGCTTTGTTGTACTAGGAGATAAACTGTCAATTAGGACAACATATGGAATGTGGCAAGGTGTATGGGATCACAACACACGGCGTTTTGTGGGTCACATGGTCCATGCAAAATCAATTGTTTAGGCACTAGAACATCCTTAATTAAATTTTTTTTACGTTTGTTTTGCAACATCAATTGAAAATTAATTTCAAACAAACTTAACCATAATAAGCACAAAGTTATTGAGTTGGACCAAAAGGTTTATACACTATTCAAAAGAAAAGACTGAATTTTTAATTTTTTGGGACTTTGGGAATTAGAGTATACCATTATTATTCAAACCAACTGTATAACTTTACGCATAAATTTACGAAGATGTAATCTATGAAAATAAAAGGCTGAAATAATAATTCAATTGAATAATAGCGATTTTTTGTTAAATTAGATATTGGAAAAAAAAAAATTTTTGATATTGGCCAAATAATTCTTAATCTTAAATTTACAACAAGCATCGTTAGTTTAAATAAAAGTAAATCAAGGACACATGGTTTTTGGAAAAAAAAAAATTGTAAAATTAACGGAATGAAATTAATAATTTTATATATTAATACAAACTTTTTGGATAACGAAGTTAAAGACTTTTATAAATTGAAATAGGTTTGGAGTGTATATTTTATATGGTTGGGAAATACCACTATGTATGTGTCTATGGTACTTAAATCACTAATTATTCTGTATATGGATATGCTAAATGTTAGATCCTCTCTCAAAATATTTATGGAGGTAAATATAATTAGGGTAGTTTTACATTTAATTTTTATTTAAGCATTTATATATTTATATATATTAAAAAAATATATATTTTTTTGCAAGTTTTTTTTTTTAACTATATTTTACCTATTTGGCTTTGGTCACACTTTTCCTTTCAAAGACGGGGAAAACTTTAGTTGCTTTGCTTATCGCTACAAAAGCAGTATTATTAAGTGTTTCAAAACTTAAATGAGATGAAACAAATCATAATTTCAAATTCCCCTTTTTTTTTATGTGGGTAAGGATACGTATCGGTTATAGAAAATATATGTAGCACTAAAAGAAACATCACATTATACACGTCATTTTTCTTCTGTCATTTTGGTGAGATTGCTATGTGTTCTTCTTGGCGGAGGGTTATGTCACAGGCCCGGCTACATATCAATTAGTGCTAACAAGATAAACACAACATGACAAATGTTGCCCTAGTGAACAAGGGATCATTTTCATTTTGATAAATCAAGCATTGTGTCCAAGGCCAAATATGGGCACCTCTTGGTAGGCAGGGGCACCCAAAGAAAGGCCAAGAAATTCTTTAATACAAGTGATTGTTGGCTATCAGCACTCCCCTTTACTAAACTAAAGGTGTAAACTTGAGGTATGGCATGAGGAAATGCCACTATAGTTGAGGCCACGCACCCTACAACACATAGTTGGAAGCCTACATTTCGTCTCCGTTATGGTGACACTTGGTGGGTCCGTATCCTGTAAGTTTTGCCCTTTTCAAACTCGTTGCAGTCAATTGGATTCATCCTAACGGCGTTATGTAGATCTCTTGGGGAGTCGACTCATATTTTGCTTGAGTGGAAAAGCACAATGGCTGGGTGAAATGTGCAACTTCGCTTAATTTTGGAGCCTTGAAGAACAAATAATAGGGGACCTTGGTGTATAATCTTACAATTAAAAAGGTTAATTTTTGTTTTTTGAGGAACGTGAATATTTGGAGAACTAATGAGTTCTAGGTAAAACATTCTAATCTGTTTCCTTTTCATGATTAGCTTTTTATTGCTGAACCATCAGGTTAATATACCTTCTATAAATCTCAGAAATTCTAAATTTTGGATGGTACTTTGGTGTTGCTTGTGCATTCCAAGCTTTGGCTGTGGTTCTTAACGCTGGCATCATTGATATTCAAAGCATGTGAAATAATTGTTTTATTTTGTCCTAGACTATAAGGTACCTGTTAAGAATTCTGTCATTGTTCTTAATGTATTGCACTTAGGAATAAGAGGGGAATTGGAAGCGTGTTACTGAAAGGCTTGACGAACACGGCATGCCCCAACTTGCAATGCTAAGAGTCTCTCAGATTTTCAACTGGAACGGCAATCAAAATACCACTGTCTCATCTGCAGTTGGTGGAAAGCTATTGTGGGTAATCCTTAATTTCTTTATTGAAATCGCTTAGTAATAAGATTATTTGGAAGTTACCACAGGTAAATAGCATTTGAATATTTAACTGGGAAATTATGAATATAAATAATTAATGTCAGCATTGGACAGAAATAACACAACCTATCGAACGGAACGTAAGTCTGGTGTTTCATTGGTCCTTAAAATTAGTCCTTTAATTTTTATTTGTGAATTTTTTTGGTGAATTGTGTGATTTTAATCCTTAGGTTTCTTGGCTAGTTACCTATATCTTGGCTATCAATAAGCGCTACTGTTTGTGACATGTGACTGTTTGTGATTTGCCTTGATATACTTTTTTGTGAACGCAATGTATTACATTTATATACTTTGTGTGTTTATTCTTTTATGAAATTTCCAGGATGTTGTGATGGAAGGGGGTGGTAAGAGAAGCTATCATGCTTTTTGCCTAGATCCTCCTTTGAAGGATTTTCCTCTTGGAGTTGTGGTTAAAATTGGTTTTCTCTTGCATTGTGGTTTGGAAAGAAGATAAATTAGGGTTGTACATTCAGTTTCCCTGGAGGAGTGGAATCAATCTGGGATACTAAAGAAGTGGAAGCCACGGGTAAAATGGTATGTGCAAAATATTGTATAATAACTCCGATTATTGGTATGAACTGTTTGCCTAGTTTCATAAGTGTGCTGCTTTAGTGCCTACTAGTTTTGTCATGTGAGAAATTAATTTAAGTTATTAAGAATTGCTCTGAACTTTTATTCATCAACTTGTGATGATTGCCTATAATGATTCTTGCTAAGATGAGATTTTTGTCACTAAGATTGCAAGAGAAGCAATTTTTTTGTAAATACCAAGGCTACTTGCTCATGTTTCATCAATCGATGGGCTGCTCAGAAAGTCAACTTCTTCTCGAAGCACCTTCACCTTGTTGCAAATTTACCGAAAAAACCAGGTTTCAAATTTTTTTTTACTGTTTCCCCTTCCCTTTTGCTGGACTGGTTTAAACAAATTATGAATGGTGCATATTGTAGTTATTGCTTACTTTATTGAATTACTATTTTTTTTTTTCTCAAAGTTTCTTTGTGATACAGAGCACAAAATGGAAGCAGGAGGTGGACTGAGCCACACCGTTTGCTACATAAATGGTTGGTCCAACAACAAGATGAGAATTCATCGGGGGCATGCTAATGACGTTTTTGGATGGTCATTATGAGTGGCTTGGGTAAAATGCGTGTTGGTCTTGATTATGGGCATGCAACATGGGAGTTGGAAACTACTTTTTCTGAAATTTCCAAAAGCACTGAACTCATATGAGATTATGAAAATCGCCATGAGAGGGCAAAGAAGGTCCTGCACGGTTGAATATTAAAAGTCATACTGTGTTCCATACACACTACTTTTTCCTTTTTGAATTGTTTTAAATATTATGGGCATTGTTTATTGGGATAAAAGGTTCCAGATAAGAGTAGTAATCCTTGCTTGAATTAATGTTTTGAAACAATCTTGAATCTCTATTTTGGATCACTGCTTCTCCCTCTCTCCTCCCCCCACCCCTCCCAGGTCCTCCTCTTCCCTCTCTTAATTCCATTTACAAATTTCACTGAAGAAAGAAGGAAGAGTCTGCCATCACAACTTATATAATTGTTTAACTTGGCTTTGGTGAAGTTCTGATGGATGGCCTCATGAGATCAAATTGAATGTGAAATTTGCTCTTTTTTTGCCCCCCCCCCCTCCCCCAGGTCCTCCTCTTCCCTCTCTTAATTCCATTACAATTTCACTGAAGAAGAAGGAAGAGTCTGCCAATCACAACTTATATAATTGTTTACTTGGCTTTGTGAGTTCTGATGGATGGCCTCATGAGATCAAATTGAATGTGAATTTGCTCTTTTTTGAAGTCAAAAGAATTTGATTGTTGATATAGGAGACATCTTACTGATCTTAGTTACCAAATTTCAAAATAAAAAAGATATTAAGAAAAAGGTTAGAATAAGAATACATTAAAGATATATCACTAGTTAAGGATGCTTTTCAGTTATGTGGTTCTTTTATCTGCTTCTGAGACTACAAACCATTTGTTTTATTTGTTAAGCAGTTAATTTATTTGTTTGTTTTCAGTCGTTTGAATATGATGATTTATATATATTCTTTTTAATCCTATGAAATTATTTTTGTTGGTTTATTACCTGCAGAAACTTGAGATGAAAAAAGTTTCTTCACTTAAATCATTGAAGTTGTCAGCTGACAGTGTAGCTAGGCTTGGTAATAATCATTTGGACTTTGTCAACAATCTTCGTGAGCGTTGGTACAAGGGGAAGAATGTTTTAATTGATGATCAGGTAAGCTCAAACAGTTACACTTTGATTTAAGCTTGTCATCATGTTACTGTTTGATTTTGTAACAAATGTTTGTAGAATACCCAGAGTATCTAATTTAATAATATTCTCTTTACTAAAGAGCAGAATTTGATGCTCGACATAAACAAATTCAGTACCATGTTTCTTTTTGCATTTGTGCTATGCATATATATAACATGCAGAATATTTGGTTCATTCATTCATAATATTATTGCATATTGTTTATAGTGGTGGACCTGGGCCTGCTAGAATGAACAATGGGTTTTGCTGCATTGTTTTCACATTCATTTATTCAGTTTATCATCATGGATTTATGATTATAAAGCCCTTGTTTCATTACCTTTGTGTTAATGTTTCTGTAACATTCTATTTGTTCGTTACTTTCTTCAACGTCTTTCATTTTTATCCTGTAAGCGCATGCTAAAAATATGCAAGTGCTTGCTATGTCTGCAGGAGCGAATTGTGAAGGTGATTTCATTTATTTCATCTTTGTCATCTGATGTCTATCGGCCTTTTCTGATCATCACAACTTCTGCTGCAATTCCTTTGTGGGATGAAGAGTTGTTTCATTTAGCTCCTTATGTTAATACTGTGGCTTACTGTGGAGACAAAGATATGCGACGAAGTATTAAGGCTTTTGAGTTTTATGGACTAGAAGGGGGCATAATGTTTGATGTACTTATAACCTCTCCCGAAGTTGTTGCAGAGGTATACCTTGCAATGTGCATGACTTTTGACACGAGTGTTAAGAGAATATCAGACTGATAGCTTGTCTTTTTTGTTCTTTGTCATAAATGCATTTTTCTAGGTTTACTTGTCATAGCACTTGTTCTTGATTTTAATATATGGTTTTGCAGGATCTAAATGAACTTGCATTGGAAAAATGGGAAGCAGTAATAGTTGATGAGTGCCAACGCTCTAAAATGTATTCACATTTTGAACAAATTAAGAGTTTAAGTACTGATATGAGGCTTCTCCTTGTCAATGGCCAACTAAAGGTGTGTTGTGCGAGTATGGCATTTTTCTTCTGCTTTGCTCTTTAATTCTGCAATCCCCCAAAACACACAAAACATACAAACACAATCAATGAACGGCTTATATCATGCTGGATTTTGCAGGATGGTGTAATTGAGCATTTGCTGTCTCTGCTTGATCGTCAAAGTGATAGAAATAGCTGTGAGGACTTGGTAACTAATTCCAACCACAAGATTGGTAATTCAAAAGAGAGGTTGTCTAAGTTTATTGTTACTGGTTCAAAGCCTGAATCTTCGAGATATGTAGAATATTGGGTTCCTGTACAGATACCCAACATACAACTTGAGCAGTATTGTGCTACTCTGCTTATGAATTCTTTATCACTTTTTTCACCCTCAAAGAATGATCTTGTTGGGGCACTTCGTGACATTCTTATCTCTACTCGAAAGGTTAGTCTGATTGTTTGCATGAGATCTAGTTGTTCTATGATTTGAGCTGTATTGTCTTCATCACATTTGTTCACCTTTTAGTGTATTCTTTTGTGTGCGTCTAATGAGTGTGTCATCTACTGCCGTGGTATTTAGAGAAACTGAAGACTGAGTTTTGAAAATTTAAGATCTAAATATTAAGTGCTGAATAATTTAAGTAATGCAATTCAAAAATTATAAAATTATTTAAAAGCTTATTTACTTATTGTATTTGGTGTAAGTAGCTAAAATTCTTCACTTGCAATTTTAAGTGAATTTTAGCTTAATCAAGATTTTTAAGTGATGTAGATAAGCATTATCAAACAACTTTTAACTGCTTAATGGTGTTATTGAACACCACCTTAGTCAAAATGTGTGGTGCTTTCTACCAGTTCTGCATGGGCATAGAAATTGGTAATTTTCAGACTTTTACCATAGTAGTTGCCCCATGCACATTGTTTCATAAGCTTCAGATTCGAGGTTCATGGTGATTGTTGTGTAGTTTCCCTAGCATTTTTATTTTTTTTTTAACTACAAATAATATTGACATTATGAAAAGCAATATGATTGAGCTGTTTGGAGAACTTACTAATTGGAACTTTGGCAGTATCTTCAACCATGTAATATATTTTTCACCCTGAGCTTTTCCTATGTTCAAATTTGACTTATTTTCTTTGCATCTATTGGAGCTCTGAATTATTTAACCTTTTCATAATTGCTAATGGGAAAAAACTAAGCTATTGGGTTCATATGTTTCTAGTTGCAATTCATGAATGTGATTATTATTGACAGTGCTGTGATCATCCCTACATCATGGATCCACAGCTGCAACCTGAGTTGACAAAAGGTCGTAATGCAGCTGACTTTTTAGATATTGGAATAAAAGCAAGTGGCAAGTTACAAATTCTCGACGCAATGCTTTCTGAGATAAGAAACAAAGGTTTAAAAGTGCTAATTCTTTTCAAGGTATATGCTTCACAAGGATTTGTTGCATTCTAATTTTTTAATTATTTTTTTCTTTTTTTTATTTTTTTTATCTTTCTGGATATTGTTTGTTTTGATCTCTTTCTGCAATATGCTTGTTTGAATTGACGATACCCTGTTCTGATGCCAGTTCTAGGGGGACGTATACTGGAATGTGAATAAAAGTTGTTGACTTGAATGGTATGGAACCCCCCTGAAACACTAAGAGCTGCCATATTAAACTCATGAAGCTTTTTAGCAACTTTATAAGTAGAAAAAAATTTACAAAATGACAGTATGTGGTAGCTGTTAGAGCTCAAGTGGGGCCTACTAATTCCAAGTCAGCAAGTTATATTCATGTTCACCTTCAAGCTTAGTGCTATGCTACTAACTGTATACACTCTAAACCCATTGGACATGATTGGAACAAAATCAGTAACTTATGTCCTAATTGATAAAGTTGAAAGAAAGATAATATTGAAAGGGAACTTCCATTTCCGCAGCTATTATGGTTATTGCCATGGCTTAAAATATTAAATTCCTAACATACCCGTTAAATAAGTTTTTCCTTTTTCTTTTCATTTCATCTCTCTTTTTTTCTCTCTTCAAAGTGTTTGACACTTTGACTGCTACCTCACCAAAACTCGACATCTTGCCTCTGAATCTACATCTAACATTAATGACAACTCTCATGGTAAGGGCAACTTAGGATTTATAATATTTTCGGCTGTGGCAATAGCCATAATAGCTGTGGAAATTGCAGCTCCCTATTGACAAAGCATGCAAAGTTTAGGATTGATTTGATCATTAGTCCGTTCATAAATTATGTTTAATGATTACCTGATGAAAAACTATCTCACAATTGAAGTGACCAGAAATTTCTTGTTGAACTTTTCTTTTTAATTGAATTTCAATAAATGGAATTCAGTAATTTCACATTGATGTTAGTTTTAGATATAAATGGTTTTCCTTGGGTGTGGAGAAAAGTTTTTCTAGTCTTCTATGTGGATCAAACCATTGCCATGATTGCACACAATTTTATGTTCTGTTTGATATTTTAATCAATTTTGGAGCATAATTGAATTTACCCAGTTTTTCTATTTACTGCCTCCCTCTCTATTATTTGCGGACACTGCACTTTGGTACACTTTTTGCTCTTCAAATTTTTTGCAATGCTATTTTTCTTATGTAAGATGTTTTTGGGTGACAGTCTTGTGGTTCTGGGAAGTATCATATTGGAGATATTTTGGATGATTTTGTGCGTCAAAGATTTGGTAAGGATTCTTACGAACGTCTTGATCAATATGTTCTTCCTACAAGGAAGCAGGCTGCTCTTAACAACTTCAATAATCAGAAAGGGAGTTTTGTATTCTTGTTAGAAACCTGTGCTTGTCTTCCCAGCATCAAACTGTCTTCAGTTGATACTGTTATCATATTTAATAGTGATTGGACCCCGACAAATGATTTAAGGAACCTACAAAAGATAACACTTGATACACAGTCAGAACAGTTAAAAATATTTCGTCTATATTCCTCTTGTACTGTGGAAGAAAATGTTCTGATATTTGCAAAGCAAGGTAAGATAATTGATAGTGATTTACAGAGCATAAGCCGACCCACTAGTCACAGTCTACTTATGTGGGGAGTTTCTTATCTATTCAGTAAGTTGGATGAGTTTCACAGTGGTGGTATGTCAGTCACCAGTTTAAGTCCCTCATTGGAGCAGTTGCCTCTCAAAGATATTATCCAGCAGTTCTTGAATGTACTCTCTCAAAATGCCAAGTGCAATGACACAGGCAGCAACTCCTTAATTTTGAAAGTTAAACAAAATTCAGGAATTTATTGTACTGATTGTCCATTGCCTAGTGAACTGAAAATTCAATCAAGTGAAGAGCTGCCCCATGAATTCTGGAGAAAACTGTTGGAGGGAAAACATCCAAAGTGGAAATACCCATCTAGTTTGTCTCAAAGGAACCGGAAGAGGGTTCAGCGCTGTGATGATATACTCAAGAAACCAGAAGATAAGGTTGATGAAATTGTGAAGGGCCAGAAAAAAGTTGCCAACAATGAAGTTAATTTGATCTCTCTTAGACCTGCACTTTCTGCAGGGAATATAGTTGCTGGGGGCAGTAAAGGTAAATATTGTTGATTGACTCGGTAATTCTGTTCATTATCATACTCAAGATGGTCTATCTTGTTCCATTGAAGAAGTGCTTTATCTTTCTTGATTCCTGTATTAACTTTCTCATAGTGTCTCTTGTTCCTTCAGGGAGTTTTAGACCTTCATCACATTTTATGCATAGATCAACGTCTGGGCCAATTGGTCGTCTTAACATCGGCCATGGTGACCAAGCTTTGACGGCCAAAATTTTGGTTAATAATTTATCAGAGGTACGAGGAGCTGATGAAGGAATGAATTTCCCTGATTTGCAAAAGAGTCTTCATCTTGGTTTAAGGCCACGCATAGCAAAACTTTGTGAAATTCTACGTCTCCCGGTAATGCATTTCATTTCCCTCCTAAATAAGTTAATTTGCAGTTCATGTTTATATTTGTTTCCCATCTCTAAACCTTTGTTTGGATGAGTAGAAAACAAGGGGAAAAAAATAGAGGAAAATAGGGGGGAATTATGATTTCCCCTTGTTTAGGATGGGGAAGAAAGAGTGAAAGAAAGATAAGTGTTATTTTCCATCCAAATTTTTCTCTCCAAATTGGAGGGGAAATAGAAAAAGTTATAACAATGTGCCTGTGGAGGAAAAAGGAAAATAATTTTAATTTCCTCCTATATATATATACACAAGGAAGGAAAATAAAAATTTCCCTTTTTCTTTTATTTACTTCCTCATTTTCTTTTTCCCCCCTACTTTCTTTGCTAAAAGGAAAGTGTAAGGGATTTCTTTTTCTTCTTTGTGCATGTGATATGGTATAGTGAGTTGGGCATTCTATGTCATTGCTGCTTCTGCTGTGCTTGGTTTTAGAATTGATAAAAGCATAATAAAGATTTTCCTATAAGCATAAAGTGTTTCATCTAATCAGGCTTGAACCCTGTAATGAGCTTTGCAATTGTTAAAGTAATATCAGGATTAATATGGTACTTGAGATTTGTCAAGCTAAGAGAGTGTTTTTCCTGGACCCACTGAGATAATTTAGGTTGAAAATACTTCTTGAAATTGGAATTTTTTCTTCAATGCCTGCTTTTTCTCCCAGCTTCATCCCAAAGTTCTGCTTTCTTCTTTTAAAGCATTATAATTTTGTTATATATTTTATCTTTTTGAGCATTGTGACAGTGTGCTCCCTGGTGGGCCCTTGTGCATCTACGTCATGCCATACAGGGATGTCATAGGATTAGCAGTATTATATACTCGGGCCAATTTATGTTTTATAATATGTACTGATGTCATTCTCTCATTGCAGGAAGATGTGAAGGCTATGGCTCAAAGTTTGCTTGAATATGTTATGAATAATCATCGTGTTAGCAGAGAATCAGAAAACATTCTGCAGGCATTTCAGATAGCCCTGGTTAGAATTTTCTTCTGTATACATGCTGTGTGATCATTTGCTTTCTTCTGAATGAATTTTCAATGTGTTGCCAGCTTCTATGTTTGCATTAAGAATAAGAACTTGCCCATATATTCCAGTGAAAAGGGTAAAAATGCCTGAATTATATGTATTGCTTGCATTAATTTGGAAATTATTTTGTTTACTCGATTTAATCCACTTGGATAACTAGATGTCAATTTAATGATTTTGTTGTTTTTGCTATTCAACTGACAGTTGATCTACTATTAGTTGGTTTATATTTCCTTCAATTAAATTAGGATATGATCCTTTCTTATTTACTCTTTACCTTGTTGATGTTGCCTTGGTGAAAACTTCCCCTACAAGAAGTCTATCATGCTTGACATGTTAAGGATATCATGAAAATGTCTTGGTGCAATGGTTAAGTATATATTTTCAGAGTTACTTTTGAATCTCAAGGACCTCTTTTATGCTGACCTTGTACCGTGTCTTTGCATTTCATGTGGCCAATTTATTTTACTTCGCATTTTATGTGGCCAAATTATTTTTCTTTCTTTTTCTATGCTATTGAGTTGTTTTAGCAAAAGTACAGAAACTTTCAAAATTGGAGAGGTGGGTTCAAAGCATTCTGCCCTCTCTTTGGGAACAATTGTATAAGTTAGAAGTAAAACTGCAGTATGTAGGAGCTGAAAAAGAATAAAAGAACAAGTCATAACAGATTGGCAGCCTAAAGAAGGACAAATTAAGAAGCTGTGGGAGATGTTTCTTTCAAACTGTGAAAGGTTATGGATATATCTAATTGTGTTAGACATGCAGTCGGCTTCCTTCAGTTACACTCGTCATAATTATAACTAATAAGAAACCTTCAGGCTATAATTGGCTACTTTAGTGATTCAAGCATAGTTGTAAGTTGGATAAAGTTCAGACCTTTTTGAGCAATAAGCACAATGGAAAATATCTCCTAAACCTAAATCCAGTCATGCACTCAATTTCCAGATGGAAAAAGAAAAGAGAGATGACTGCTAAATTTTCTAATAAGAGAAAACAGGCAGAATTAGTTCTGTCACAAATAGGAAAAATGTCAGAATGAATTAATGTATTAAATATGCAAGTGCACATGAGAATTATGCATGGAAGGTGCACATTATTTCCAGTCTTCCTTGTAAATTATTTTCACAAGGACATGATCTGTTAACTTCTACACTTTCAAAATAAACTCAAGTGAAATGAAATAATGGTTTCATTCAAATGAAGATTAAATTAGACAGTAGCCTTGGAAACAAATGTGTCAACCATGGAATGAGGACCGACCTCTCTAATTCCTTTTCTTCTTTTTTTCTGTGTATTTTTCCTAGAAATTTAGTTTAAGACAAGTTCAGTGAGGTTGTGAGAACACAATGTGTGCTTGCTGAATGTTCCTGTGAAAAAAACTTAGGTGTTTCTGCATCAATGTGTGAATATGTTTGCTTGTATGTGTATGTAAATTACTTGGCATTTTTAAAGAACACAATGCGTATCTGCTGAATGATCCTATGAAAAACTCATGGGCTTCTGCATCAATGTGTGTGAATATTTTTGCTTGTATCTCTATGTAAATTACTTGGCATGTCTCATATTATTCTTGTGTTTTTGGTTTGTGGAAACCTGCATGTTTAGATGACGTTGGTTAACGTTTTTACACTATTGTTGTGTACAAATTTCAGTGTTGGACTGCAGCTTCTTTGCTAAAGCACAAACTTGGTCACAAAGAATCGCTTGCCCATGCAAAACAGCATTTAAATTTCAGCTGCAAGAAAGAAGAGGCAGATTATGTTTATTCTCTGTTGCGGTGTCTGAAGAAAATGTTTTTATATCATACAGGGAATTGTACTCTTTCCTCTTCTCCAAAGGCTTCTCAATCATTGAACAAGGACCATTTACATGCAAGATCATCACAGCCAACGCTGTTTGTCCTGCAAAAGGTGAGAGTAGGGTTTGAAGAACATGGCCAAGAATTCTTTGATGAGAAGGTACTTTCACAGCTGGGATTGGCACAGCAAGATGTTTTGAAAAGTATCAAAGATATTGAGAAGAAATGCCATAAACAGATGACACAACTCTCACAGAAGCAAAAGGAACAAAAAGAGGAAATTGAAAGAAAGTTCAAAGAAGAGAAGGCACAACTTGAGAATAAACAAAAAACAGAGGCAGCTGTTATTCGTTTGCATAGTAATAGTTCAATGAGAACAGATAAACTCAAGTTACTTGATATTGAATATGCAAAGAAGTTTGAAGAACTTGAGCTTCAGAAGGAGATACGGCTTCAAGATCTTGAGGCTACTCACCTGTTGGCAATGAAGAAGTTGAAAGAGAGGAAAGCATGTTGGCTGGATGGAGTGAAATCCTGGGCAGAGTCGGAATTAATGAATAAGCTACCTTCCAATGAAATTGAAAATAATCAAGAAAATGTTGTCTCTTTAAATTCTCATATGAAAGAACAGAATCCTAAAGGAGTTGGAAGTGTGCAAGATAGGGAGGCTCTGCTGGAAGTCCTTGAAACTTTAAGTTCAAACGATAAGGTGGATATGCTACCTGGGGTACCACCTACAAATGAACAGACTACTGATGGAGAGGATCCATTGAGAGTTTCAATGGGAATAAGCTCGAGGGATGGATTAACAAATGTTGAGACTGTAAATATTAATTCATCTGAAGAACAAATTCCTAATACAGGTGTTTTATTGGGCGTGTCTGAGGTTGTTAATTCGAATGATGGTTTGGAGAACACTGTTCATGAACTGTCATCTAATGAACAAAGTCCTAATGGAGCCACGTTACTGGTGCCTAAAAAGATTCCAATGGGACTGCCTGAGAAGGTCAGTTCCCCTGGTTATCTAGAGAAGATGGGAGCTCCTGAAGCTTTGGATGATGGCAACACCATTGTTCACAAAGAAGATGGAGTTCACGCCATTTCCTGTGGTGATGCTTCTGAAGTTGACCAGCAGGATGAAGTGGTTTGTATTTTTAATCAAGATCCTTGCTCCACAAGTACTGCTGGGGACCAACAAAGTGGAAAGGTTTCGTCTGGAGTGCCAAAAAATGCTTCCAATACTGTTGTGGATGATAGAACTGGTAAGCAGCCGGATGGAAAGGTTCTGGTGGATAAGATTATCAGCAAAGAAAATTCTGATTGCTCTGATAGAACAGCTGGCCTCAGCCAACAGGATGGGGAGTCTCAATCAGTATTGCCTGAATCTACTCCTGGTGAAGTAGTTGATGATGGTGAAACTGGTAAGAAGCAGGATGGAGAGGTTCAAGCGGACGATGCTGTCAATGATCAAGGTCCTCAATCATCGGATAGAACTGCTGGAGTAGCAGAGGGTTTCTGTACGAATAAGGATAATGATGGAGTTTGTGTCATGGCTTCATCCTTCATTGCCAGAATTGATCAGCAAGATGGAGTGATTGCATCACGAGGATCTGAAAATAATCCTAGCGAATTAGTGGTGGGTGGTTGCCACGGTGGAGAGATCAATGAAGCATGTGGAGAGGCCGCCTCTAATAATGCTAATCAGCAGGACACAGTAATATCTGTCATTAATGAAGATGATCATCTTCAAGAACCATGTCCGGTAAGTTTACCTGTTTCAATTTATGCATGATTGCTTTTGGGGCTTTTGAAGTATTGGTTCTTAAATAATTAGTTTGATACAATCATGACTTCGTCAGTTAACAATGATATTATTCCGTCTTATTTTTCCTACTTCATTGAATTTGTGGCTTTCTGACATCGAGTTTAGTTTTCCAGTGGAAAAATCAAAAAATGCTAATCACTTAAAAAATCCTCACTTGTTTTAGGCAGTTCAAGATGAATCTCCTCTGCCAACAGCATCTGCTAGATCGCAAGATAGAGTCGCAACAGCAACTGGAAATCACAATACTTTGCAGCAGGTTGAGGCTTCCGTGGCATCTCCTGACGATGCTGTAGCTTCTACTCAAACTGATAATGATATACCAGTTGTAGAGCATGTGCTGCAAACACAGTCGTCAGCATCCTTGGATTCTGCTTTTTGTCTTGAGGCCATGGATTTACCTTTAGATAGTGGAATTGAAAGTCAGCTAACCTATGATGGTCTTATCAATAACAACGCCATCGAGGCTTCAACTCAAATACTAGAGAACCAAATGGAACACTCAAATCAGGCGACTTTGCAGCCTGCAACACATGTTACACAGCATCCACCCATTTCTTCTGTAGTTAATAATCGCCTTGCACGAACTGAACCCCCTGTCCTAATGCCTCCTCTGCCATCATATCCTGATCCACTTCAAAATGAATTGGATAGAATACGCAAAGAAACAGACCAAATCATCAGCGTTTATGAGGATGATGTTAGTTCCCTATATGCCTAATGTTCTTCTATGTTAATGAAAGGCTCAGTATTATCCCTTTCATTAAAATTCCCTTTCTATTTTTGCAGAAGCTGCGGCTAAAATCTGATTGTGAAAAAGAGATAGAGGAAGTTGTCGCTCAAATTCGTAGAAAGTATGAGATTAAACTTCAGGAGGTGGAATCTGAATTCATTCTTAAGAAGAAAGAATTGGATACAAATCAAAATAAAGTTCTTATGAACAAGATCTTGGCTGAGGCATTCAGATCTAAGTGTATGGACATGAAAGCATCTGGTAGGCCTGGTGTGCATCGAGGTAAGCGACATTTGAGATTGTTGATAATAGAAAATTGATAAAAATAGAAGTAGAGATCATGGAACCACATTAAAAATCCGTTGATTTTTTGTCCCTTATCTCTATTGAACTCCTATTTGTTTCTGGCAGAGGTGGCTTCAAGTTTCATGCAGCAGTTGCTTCAGATATCATCGCAGCCCACTGCACAGCGGAATGCCACTGTCAGTGGTCTGCCTGCCAGTGGCCCACAGCTCACTGCCCCTGGCTCACATGGTAAAGCTCCATCTGTGCAGGTTGTTCATCATTCCTCAACACTTTTCTCAGGCACCCAAACAAGACCTCCTCTTATTAGCTCTATCTCCCCTACTACTGGCAATCTCCAAATTGGTAGTGAAATTCGAGCTCCCGCCCCACACCTACAACCTTTCAGATCTTCAGCATCCACAACTTCAACAAATGTTCCTTCTCCTTCAATTGTGATGCCTAGTGTGCAGGTGCCCAGTAACCCCCTCACAACCTCTACCACACCCACCCAGCTTCCATTGCGACCACAACAATCTCATTATCGCAATATTTCAAATCGACCTGAAACTGCAAGAATTTCATCACCTCTGTCTAACCCATCTCCATCTGCACTTGAGTTGCTAAGGGATGTAGAAAATCAAACAAATAGAAATTCAAACTCTCACCCACTAACACGTCTAGGTTCTAACACAGACCCCTTGGTGATGCCTGAAATTGGCCAGCTAAATGATAAAAGGACAGATGTTGCATGTCCAAGCGAGGTCGTTTGTTTATCAGATGATGATTGACATCTACTTTGTGTATCAACTCTTTGATCTTTTGCTGATACTTTCGAGCTTCAGTTTCTGGAGCACATTTTTTGGTCTGTAGTTCCATGCGTTCAGGAATAGTTCTTGTGGTTGGATTTGTGCAGAATTACTCTTGTATATGGTCGAATCCTTGCTTCATTTCTAATATTGTATATCAAGTTAATTTTTCTTAATGGAAATTTCTATCCTTTTTTACTTTTGGTATTTTGATAGTTTGCATATGTATATAATATAATATGGGAGATATAACACTGGAATTGAAATGCAGCTATTTGTAAAGTTGTCATGAATTGAAGTCACTGCTGTAAAGAAATTGGTTTAGATACAGAATTTTCAAAATGACATTGTAGAAAACAAGGCAGGAAATGTAAACATTCGGAGGATAACAACAATCACAGTACAGTTGAAGAAAGACCCTCTTTAGCAGAATGGCAGAGGCTTACCTTCCCAAACCTTGAGCTGTTCAAGAAGTCGGTCAACTATTATCCAAATTCATCGCCTGGCGACCTTAAGTTAGAAGCTCAGTACCCAACTCACAAATTTGTAAATTGGAGAACTATACTCCAATCCTCTTAGGAATTGCAGAATTTCCACTCTCAATGGCATTTCCTGCAGCCTCAACTTCTTCTGGCAAAACAGCCTTCAGTGTCTCTGAAAGCACCTTTCTAGACGGAAATTAAAGCATTGGCTACAAACACATATTTGTCATCGGAAACCCTAAGCAAATCTCTCATAAAATCTTGAAGATGAAGCTCAGGATTAGCTCCAATTGTCAAGAATCTTCTTAGCCACTTGACTAACTGAATTCACAACTACACTCTTCAGTTCGACTTCCAAATGCCCTAAATCAATGGCCTGACAGTGCTCAACCAAAAAAGTCGGATATATTAACTTTAAAATGTCCTGCTTTCTGCTGTTTTCCTTGCTGAAATAAGCCCTAATGATCCTGATTGTGCTGCTCTGCACTTTGAACATAATCGATAACAAGATTAGCTAAGTATTACAGCTCAGTGCAATATGATGCCATGGCTATCTACTGTGAGATTTAAAGGCAACCCACTATTGTAAAAATCATTAACATTAGTTTTCCTATAGAAGCCAATGCTAGTCGTGTATAGCAGATAATACTTGTGATAATGCTTGATTCTGTTTATTTGCCAAAGATTCAGGCATTCATGTTGAGTTGCTATTGTAGCAAAACACTCAAAACTTATACGTTGTATTTTGTATTTATTTTGTAATTTTAGTTCCTTTGATTTTCAGCCCATAGCTGCTGATGTAATTAGGTCCTTTTTGTGTAATCTGTGTCTAATCAAGTTTGAAATTTGATCAATTAGAATTCAAAATCAAATTTCAAATTTGCCTCTTATTTTTCCAGCCCCAAAGCTATATATTTTCATGTAGCAGTTTCCGAATGTAATAAGAAATTAGAAATCTCTCTCTCCATCTCCATTTTAGAAACACCTTAAAATGGTACCAGAACTTGCAGAGATTTTAAGGGGCCTGAGATTAGTTTATTACTTGAGCGAGAAAGAGGAAGGAAGAGAGAAGTGAATTATGGCTTCCAGAGTTTCAATTCCAGCACCATCCATCTTCAAAGGTCAAAATCGTGATTTTGGGTAATCAAGATGAAGAGTTTCTTGAAAGCTCATGATTTATGGAATGTAGTGGAAAAAGATTATGAATCACCACCATAAAAATAAAAATCCTACTCTTGCACAAATTAAGTAGCAAATAAAGGAGGCTCCAAAGCCATTCAAAGCTCTGAGGATGAGAGTATTTTTCCAAGAATTATGGGTGCAAAGACAATCAAGAAAGCGTGAGACTTGTTGAAGGAGGAGTTTCAAGATTCTCAAAGAGTAAAGTAAGAAAAGGCGGGCGATGTGTAAGGACGGTTCGTCGGGGTTTTAGTGACACCATTGACTCATTACCAACATCTACTACTTCTATGTGGATGTTGTGTTGTGTCACGTGTTTGACTGATTGGATATTCATTTTAGTATATTAGGAAGCATTTCATGTGAATGCTTGTTATATGCATTATTTATTATTATTAACTAAGTTGTAAAACTTACTTCTGTTTATTTAATTTTTTTAGGAAGTAGATTCTCCATCGTTCCAGTTAAAACTATATTTCCTTCATCGCGAAGCTAGAAAAGTAATTTCAAATTTTAGTATTATTTTAGTTATGATATGTAATATATGGAAGCTCGGTCTTATCTATATGCCGTTTCAACTCTGCAGCTGCAGATATCTGCAATTACTATAGGAGTGTCATGTATGCAATAATAATAATTTATTATATATATATGTAGTTATAGTTATTATTTATTATATAGTTATTTTTTTCCTTTTTTATTATTATTTTATTATTTAAGGGAATCTCATTGCTATTAACCAAACAAACATGAAACATATGCTAGCATATTCGTCCATAGGTCAAATCGGATATGTAATTATTGGATCATCATATAATAATCCGGAAATTACAATAGAAAAGAAAAAGGGAGGTTTGTCCAAAATATGAAAGAAATAGGTGTTTTTACGACTTTACCACCCAGTCAATTCTGTTCCGTTTGTCCAAAATATTGAAAAGAAATAGGTGTTTTTACGACTTTATCATCCCAAGTCAATTAGTTCCCTTAATCCTATTTCATGGCCCACATAATCTTTCAGGCTAAGGAAATGTCTCCTATTTATGATCATTTTTCAATTAATTCTATTTTGGATAAATTTGAATCTTTGGTTGAAATTATAAGTTTTTGACATATTTTACCCGATGAATCCAATTTTCATTAATTCTATTTTGATAAATTTGAATCTTTGGTTGAAATTATAAGTTGAATATTTTACCCGAGCCCAATGAATGAGATTATGATTATACTTTATGAATGCATGCAATACAGTCCTGAGAAAATTGAATAAATGATAAGTATATTGTATTTTATTTAGGCCCTTTGAAAAAAATTTGGATTGTTATCATTATATTGGATCATCCAGTTGAATATTCTTATTGTGGTTGTCTTTTCGAGATATTTCTACTAGATTGAACGATTGATAAATAATTTCTCAAGGCTTACTATGGGTCTCGGTGGCCTTAAACTTACCTAGGTCCTAGTGCCAGTCACATTCACAGAAACAGGTTGTAACACATGTATACTAAATACTACTTGTCACATTTAAAATTTCACATCACTTAAGAAAATCATTAAACTTGTCTAAGTTACAATAAATTATTGAGTAAATTGATTATATTATCATTAATTTGATATTAATTTTTTAAGAAAACTATTAAATTGAAGTAATAATTAATATACAAAGGGTAATCATAAAAAAAAAATTATTTATTACTCTTTGAAACTGAAGATGTGACGAGTATTTTGAAACAAACTATTTTCTCAAATGTGATAAGTATTATGGAACGGAAGTAGTATAAAAGAGTGAATGAGAGGGAATAATGGGATTAGTTTTGATAACTTTAATGAAATTTTAGAAATTCTAAAATATCCTTTTAGATAACCGATAATAATTTGAGTTCATTAAATAACTTGAGTTTTTAACGATTGATAAATTAGGATATTAAATTATTAATCAATCGAGCTTTTTTAATAATTTTTTATTTATTGATTTGAAAACTTTTTATTATATTATTTTAATATTATTATTTCAACATATTATCCTCATCGAATATTCAATCATTGCTTAATTCGGATATTAATTTTTCAAAAAATAGATTGTTATCTTAATTTTAAAATAAACATTAAAATGCAAAAAAAAAAGTACAAACAATATTGTTTTGCGGGTTATATATATATATATTCACTTTTAAAATTTTGAATCATTTTCTTTTTATATCTATTTTATATATATCTAAATTTTTCAAAATTTTTTTATTTCTAAAGTCAACATTTTAGTTTTTTTTATTTTTTCACAAATATTGGTTGTCATTATATCATATTGTATCAGCTCATATTTAGTTTCTGCAAAACCGGTTGGATGATTTTCTTCTATAAACAGAAAAATTGCACATACTATAAGACTATATCTATGTATCTCAACATTTAATCAAAAGCAAAGTGCGGAAATAATAGGATTTTCTAAAATATTTTAATAAATTTTGAGATATTCTGAAGTATCTTATGGCCAATAAAAAATTTAATATCTATTTATATATCTATATAAAAGCTGATCAAAGAGAAAATTCAGCACTCTTTTGCCATCCAACTTTCTATTTTTCTTTTTTCAAGAATTTTTAAAATTTTAATTTATTTTTCTACAAGTTGATTGGTTGTCAAATATATTTTCAAAATCAAAATTTATTTATAATTATTTTAGAAGATATGTTTAGATGATTATGAGTTTGAACATTTTAAATTATTTAACTAGATAACTAGATAATTACATTTAAAAGGAATTACAATATTGTTCTTATCTACATCTTTACATATATGTATACTTCTATATATATTTATATGTTTCTGTTTTTTATGCTTTAGCGGCATCTCTCTGGTTTTTTTTTTTTTTTTTTTTTTTGATAAATTACATTAAAAAGGAATTACAATATTGTTCCCTTATCTACATCTAATTATCAATATTATGTATACTTCTAATAATATATTAATTATAATGTATATACTGTTATTTTAATAGACTATATAAGACGGAACAAATAACCATCTCATGGTATATATTTTTTTTATATTTTTTTTTCTCCGCTATGCTTTAGGAGATAAATCCTCTTTAATTTCCTTATTTGAATAGAGTTTGTTTTTTGTCAGATTTTGCAGAGATTTTTAATTTTATTCTTATACATTTTCCAATTAAGCATAATATAATTTGGAATTTCTTTTTATATAGCTTTATTTTCTTTTATGTATCGATAGTGTTATATTATATTATAATAGTATAATATAATATAGTTTTTATTATAAGGAATATTTTTACATAATAACCTTCTCTTACCTTTCCCACCCTCCTACAACCTTACGCTCTCCCTTCTTACTCTTTTAGTTTTATTTATATTTGTCACGATACGCATTTCCGTGGGCTGGAACACGGCACTTAAAGGAACCATAGAGATGGGACTTAAGGCGCCGCCCGAGAAGACCACGTAATAAGCTAGCAATTATTATAAAACCATCGCATTCCTATTTAATCACAATATACATCCACCGTACGTGGGTACAGTCAATATA